ATGTTTCCTGACAGTTCTGGCGGCCAGTCTGAAATTCTTTCAGCTAGAAGCATCTGCCGAAAAAAAAAGATGCCGGTAGCGACAAAAACTGCGGGAACTCTGCAAAAAACGCATCTTCGCGCGGGCAGCCCGTGCGTTGGCCAATTATTTCACCAAGTTGAGTGATGATCAACGTACAAAATATGGAAGTGAGTCTGAAAATTAACACACCGAAAACGAAGGCGATACAAAGTATTGGTAGGCCTAAGCCAGACTGCAGACAGAAAGTTTTGATTTGGAGGAATTGAATATCTCATCTGTTTCTACTAGTAGTTGGATTGTTTAGAAAGTGTAAATTTCACAACGTTATCGATATTTTATCGAATCTGGAGCACCATTTTCACCTCATTCATACTGAAAACAGAGACGAACCGATACGCAGGGTGATTAGTGACGGATACAGAAGAGCGAACACTAGCTTTGATCGAAAGAACAGCGAGACGAAAAATACTTTGAGTATTCCTATATGATCATACACGAGTTTGTACACCTGACTACATGCATGCGCAATACTGTATCGAGCAACACGGGGGGAAAAAAATTTCGGTTTGCTGGTAGCTGGTGCTTCTCGAATAGATGCATGGTGCTCTAGAGGAGGAACGCCGATAGAGCAAGAAAGGCATCTAAGGTAATACGCGTAATTTTCCGAAAGCACCTACAATTAACTGGAGACATGAAGCTCAAGACGGTCGAAGCTCACGACGGCCGCCCGACTGTAGTTGCATTCCGGAAACATGAAGTCTCCACTGCGTCAGCCTTGGTGATTTTGGCAATGATTCTGTATTTCTGGTGATGGTTGCTTTTGATCCTCACTGCCACTCGGTTACTTTTAAGCGCTCCCCTTCCACAGAGTGTGCACACAAAACGGTTTCCGCAACTGATTTAAAGAAAGAATGGAACCATAGCTGAAAACGTCTTTTCTCTAAAGAAACAGCTGAATGTACTCATTCGTTAAAAAATTCTGGCTTCTAAGATAATTTGGGATAAGGCTTTCTAGTGTAAATTACAGCCACCGGTGAATCGTCAAAACACTGATGATGGTGCGATGCTAACGCAAGCAAAAAAGGCACAGCAATGTCACGCCAGACTGCAGCCACGTTATTTGCTTGCCAAAGCGCAGGATCATTATCAAACATATGGGCCCGGAAAGGCCATGCGAAGTTCCCGAGAAAAAATGGTTTATATGAAAGAGCGGAAAGCTCTGAAAACTATTGCCATCGTATTTTGTGGTGAATTTTCCCGCATTTTTTACTTCTCAATTTCATTTTACTGCGCTCAAAAAAAACACAAACTTTCAGTATAGAATTTTCGAATTCAATTTCCGCCTCTTTAGTAGTAAGCAGTGAGTGAGCGGAAGTACATTTTTGTGGGGGTATGATTCTGAAAAATGGATTGCAACATTCCTGGGAGCTGAAAGTGCAAAACAAAAGCCGGAAACGCTTGTGAACATGTGTATGGAGGAATTCAAGGAGAAAATGTGCTGTTTGGAAAAAAAAGGTGTAACTTGTCTGGTAAAGAAATTTTTTTGCAGCATTTACGATTTGTTGGTTTCCATTTTTTGTGCTTTATCTGGTTGAATTGCTAATAAGTAGCTCAGACAGTGTGATTAAGGCGACCAAAGAAATATTTTTGTGGCTCGGCTACTCAAATTCTGTATGTTTTTATGCGTTTTTGGTGTGGAGCGCTATAGAAGCGCTATAGCGTTGCTACAGCCAACAAAAACACATATTGTCGAGAGGCTATCTGTGTGTGTGTGTGTGTGTGTGTGTGTG